ATTGGAAGCAAAAAAAGAGATTTATGAAGAAATGCATTGAACAAGGGAGCCTCACTTCTCTTAAACTACTTCTTGAAGAAAAAGATAAAGGGGAAGGAGAGATGAAGTTCCTTTGTCTTTTAAACCCATAAATTCCTTTTACTACTTTAACAACAGGCCAAGTGAGAGACAGAGAGAGGTAAAACTCTACCTCAGAGGTCTTCAAACTTGGCAGCTATGCTGGCTGGAGAATTCTGGGAGTTGAAGTCTACAAGTCTCAAAGCTGCCAAGTTTGAAGACCTCTACATCTTCTTTAACTTTTATCCTTTCTTTGTCTTAAGAGGCCAATAGATGGAAGAGATAATGGCTTTTCCAACAAAGTGTTTGGAATGTTAAGGCATGGGGGGAGGGAGTGAGTAAGATAAATGTGGGTGGTTTTTTTCTATTTGCTTCATAAAGTTAGAAGCCACACTTATGAAATGAAGCTGAACAGTAGGACACAAAAAAAAATATTTTTCATGCAAAGCACACTTGATCTAATGGCTGACGCCATTGCTATGAATTGGGAACCGGTAAAAAGGCAATGAGAAAAAAGGACAGGGTTGAGAAAAATATTATTAGAAGACCGCAGTTACTCCTCTGTTTAGTATCAGAGGCAACAGCTTCTTGGAATAATAGTTGCTGTGCAACATTACCGCAAGGATGATATTAGGTAGTCATGTCCTGCTTGTTAGCGTTCCACTGGCTGAGCAGAACAGAATGCAAGATTAGATAAGCTTTTGGCCCAATCCATCCTGGCTTTTTTTAGCATTTCATAAATGGTTTGTCAGTGCTTGGCTGAGGGACTTGTTGAAAAGGCAAAATATTACAAAGAAGAATATGAGCAACCTCAGGCAATTCACAACAGACCAAAGACAACTGATTTAAATATTATGCATTGAATAAGCTTTTCAAATTAATGCCAGGACAGTTAGAAATAACTCTCAAATAGTTGGCACAACTGGAAAGTCTAACAAAATACTGCTTTATTAAAGCCGTCTCCTCTTCTAGCATTTTCCATTCTATTCCATTCCATTCCATCTCCTTACTGCAGTTCCATCCTCTAACAATTATTCTTAGTCAATATCTTTGGGCTTTCTTCAATAGTTTTGCTTCTTGTACACAAAAGTAATGTCTCCATCAAGTCCAGCTTAGTTCCGGGTGTCTTTATGGACAGGCATGGCCCAAACATGCTTAGTTGCCAAGCCCAGAAAAGCTTGGCTTCCAGAGAGTCCCATCCATCATTTCACTAGAAAATATTCCAGAGTTCATCAAGTTCCTCCCTACCAGGGGTGAAATCCAGCAGGTTCTGACAAGTTCTGGAGAACCGGTAGCAAAAATTTTGAGTAGTTTGGAGAACCGGTAATGGAAATTTTTAGTGGTTTAGAGAACCAGCAAATGCCACCTCTGGCTGGCCCCAGAGTGGAGTGGGAATGGAGATTTTGCAGTATCCTTCCCCTGGAGTGGGGTGGGAATGGAGATTTTGCAGTATCCTTCCCCTGGAGTGGGGTGGGAATGGAGATTTTGCAGTATCCTTCCCCTGCCAGGCCCACCAAGCCACACCATGCCCACCAAGCTGCGCCCACAGAACTGGTAGTAAAAAAAATTGGATTTCACTACTGCTCCCCACTCATCTCCAATGACTTTACCCTTTTCCATGCATAGCACTATTAAGTCTTTGCTCTTTACCACTGAGTTACTATTGGGTTGCTTGGGGAAGGTCCTTTGGAAGGGGATGGGTTGCACATTACAATTTTTTTTTACTGTACTCCAAATGTGCATTTGTCAGCGATGCAGATTTTGCTTTCCTCCCTCTTTCTCAATTGAGCGCCCTGCACAAATGACCAGGATGTACCTGCCAGAATTTCCAGCCAATACATCCAACAGTTGGACTGAGTAGGAGAATTGAAGGAGACAATATATTTGGAGGACACCAACTTGCAAAAAGCTGGTTGATAATATTGGAAGGAATGACTGAAGTCTTTGGAGTATGTTGGGTTTTGCTGAGTCCTACAGTAAAAAGTTCAGGATATGATGTTGATGTGATTGGAGAAATATGTTTGTTTGTTTTTGAGTCATGTGTGTAATTTGCAAATCAACATTTACTGTAACCCCATAGTGTGTATCTGTCACTGCAGTAGCAAGTTCGATATAAAGACCAAAAAAACTTTTCCAGAACAGGTGATTTGTTGAAAAAAAAAATTATCAAAATGTGAAATAGCTCAACATTTGTTGTTAGCTTTGTATGTTCAATCATTTTCTCCTCACTGAAATATTGAACTATTCCTATTAAAATTGCTCTATCATATTTATCTATTTGAAGCATACTTTTGAATTTTTGCAATAGTAATATCACAAGATGATTTTTCAAGGAAGAGTGTAACTATATCATTTGAGAACAGAGTTTTGGCAATCTTATTTAGCATTTGATTACTAAAAACAACTTTGCAGGCATCAAATATTGTTCAGTTTGTTAATCTGTTTCCTGTTGTAGATGGCTTTTTTATATTTAGGAATACAGAAAAAAATTTAAAAGATGCTCAAACTACAGCTAAGTCATTATTTACCAAAATAAAAATCATTTTGTTGAGATTTCATTGCTGACTGAATAATTAAAAATACTCAATTTATTCTTGAAATAAGCATTTTTTTCTTCCAAGTGCCTCTTTAAATTACTAGTCTTCATTATACAGTTACTATTATTCCTCTATAAATTGTGCATATTGAATTTGAAAGAGATGATACCAATTCTCTTTATTCTCTATACTATTCCTATGGGAGTGATTGGGAAAGAAGTCTAATAATTTCCTAAGAGAAATATTTCAATTAACATTCAATTAAAGTTAATAGTTTTCCTGCTATTACTACGTACTTCTGGTGTCAGCGTTCCAGAAAGTTTCTAATTGCATAAGTCCAAGCTTAGTTGTCGATGATGAAGCAATGCAGACATGGAATTTCAACGGGATTTCAAAGGAAAAAAGGGTGGTGCTTCCAACCTATCACAAAATCAAATGCTTTATATTCATAATTTGATTTTTTTAAAAAAAGAATTATCAGCTAAAATATATCTTTGGAGATCTAAATTCAACATTCTACAGTTGCCGTGATCACTTAAAATTGAGAATGCAGCTAACACTGCCTGGTTAGTAATAACTGGGTAGCTTCTTCCCCTATGTATTCTATGTGGCTCTGCATTATTTTCGGAAGTGTTACTCAACATTTTGTAACATTTTGCGCTAACAGGCTTCTATTTAATCAGAGCCAGCATCAATAAATCATGCAAAAATTTATGGTTTTGATGATTAGATAGAATAGAATATAGAAAGAAGAGGGTCATGATATAACTTTAGAGAGAGAGGTCAGTTTATAATTGTACTTACAACTGCTGTAAAGAAGTTCAGAAATTACTTTTTGTATATTTTTTGTAACTTTTCATTTTTTGGCTACTTTTTTTTTTAACCTTTTGGTTTTTTCTTTTCATTTTTCTTTTTGTTCTCTTTTAGTTTGTATTAGACTTATTCTGTGAACGGGGGTGTGATGTCTCAGCAGTTAAAGATGTCAGCTGGAAAGCTCACAGCCCAGGTTCGAGACCCGAGCGCTGCATGATGGGGTTTGCTCCTGTTATCTGTCCCAGCTCCTGCCAACCTAGCAGTCTGAAAGAATGCAAATGTGAGTAGATAAATGGGTACCACTTCGGTGAGAAGGTGTGAGCACTCTCTACCTCTCAGCGTATAGTCATGCTGGCCACATGACCACAGAAAAGTCTTCGGACAACGTTGGCTCAGAAATGAAGATGATCACCTCCTCCTAAAATCAGACATGACTGGACAGGGGAAACCTTTATCTTTTATTTTGTGAACACAGAGATGGAGAAAAAAATGAACCCCTAGCAACTGTTAACAAAGCCTGTACCACTTAGCCTACTGAAAGTATTGTAATCCCTGCAATTTGCTTGATGAGATTTCAGGAAAGGTTTGCGATTTCCTTCTTTTAAGGCTGAGAGAGTGGCTGGCCCAAAGTCATCCATCTGGCTTTGTGCCTAAGTGGGACTAGAACTCATGGTCTCCTAGATGCCTGGTGCCTTAGCCGCTATGACAAACTGGCTGTCTACTGAATTTGCAGAGAACCACTGCTGTAATTCCTCAATATGGAAAATGGAATAAAATGTTATTCAAGTCAGTTTAAAAAAAAAAAAAGCTTTAAATATGGTACCTCCTTGCCTTGAATACTAATTTCCCTGATCCTTGGGCATAGGAAAGAAGTTGCTTTGTTCTGAATTGAGCCATTAACTTGGTTAACATAGATTTGTTTCCACTGAGACCTATAAAACAGTCCTTCCCTGGCCTATCTTGATTTTTGTATAAAGTTTCCGGAGTTTGATTCTAGGGCTTTCTGTGTATAAAAAGCATTTGCTCCACTACATAAAACTCAGTTCTTCCTCTTCCTCTTGTAAGGGCATCACCTCAAACTGCTTCCACAGAATGCCAATTCCTGCAGGATCCGGTCAGTAATCCTCTACTGTAGTTTTCCATTTTGCCTGCGCGGAGATCTGTCAAATCAGATTGTAGCCCTGTAGTAAATAGCTTACCTAACATTCAGAAAGTAGTACAAAATTAGTAACTGTAGGCAACTCAATCCTTTATTAATGTTTTTAATTTCTTTCTGAAACCATTTAATACAACTGATTAAAAGTATAATTTAATTACATTTTCAAAGCGTGTATACTTTTTTTTTTATACCTCAGACTTGTCTTGGCACACTCACTTTCCTATCAGGCTCCGAAAGGGTTCCCCTTTCTCAGAACGGAAAGACCTCAGAAGCATTGCAGGGGAACCTGCGTTGAACCCTAATGCTCCGGTACAGTTTTTAAATCATTCAGCCAGCTATCTGCCTAACGCCGCCGCCAGGGGAAAACGGCTTTAATTGCAGCGTTGGCTCTTTGCAATCCGGGCGTCGGGATGGTTTGGTCCCGCTCGAAAGAGCAAGTCAGCCTTGGAATGCCGGCCGGTTGCAAAACCTCCCCGATTCCTGGCATCGTGGAATCGCATTTTGGCCACAATCTAGAGCAGTCTCCGGGCTCCTCAGGGCTTCCGCATTCTTTTCATCCCCGCGGGAAATCCTGGTCGGCGTCGGGCGGCTGCTTTAAGGGGAACTGAAGTCCCCGGAGACGATGAGACGCTTCTTGCTAAAATGCCGGGTGCTTCCCCCACCAGCACCCCCCGCTTTACGGAGCCCCTGGTTCCTTCCGCGCGGAGGAGGCGCCTGACGACAAACCGAGAGCCACACGTGCGGGGCGCTGGGGGCGGGCCTCCCCTTTCGGTTTGGGAAGGGAAGCACTCCCGCTCCGCCTCCAGCTCCACCCGCCCGCGCGAGGGCCGAGTGACTTCCCAGCCCGGCACGGAGCATCGGGCGCATTTCTCGTCGGAGCTTCCCAGGGGCGGCTAAACGCGATGCCCAGGCGGCTCTCCGGAGCCGGATCGCGGCAGCTGATGCCTCCCGCTTGCATCGTCCGCGCCGTCGCCTTCTTCTTGCTCTTGGTGCGGGTCCCCGGGGCGAAGAGCCTCGGCCTCTACTCGCCCGACGACCCGCTGGTGCAGCTGGCCAGCAACACGCTGGAACGCCGCATCTTCAATTCCACTGGCGCGTGGGTGGTCGAGTTTTACGCCTCCTGGTGCGGCCACTGCAAAGCTTTCGCCCCCGTTTGGAAAGGCTTGGCCAACGACGTGAAGGGTAAGTCCAGCAACCGCCCGTGGCCAAAAGCCAACAAGCTGGCCGCCGGGGGCGACCTTCCTGCTCCTCTTCGCTACTACCTCCCCCCCACTCCCGAGCAGGTGTGTGGCCGGGAGGGGGGGACGCCAGGTCGCAGCAACTCAGAGATGCCCTCTCGGCTGGATGTCCCGGCTTCGCAGGTTGCCCCGCAGCTGGCGTAGAGTATGCCCGAAATTAAGTCCTGGGGAACGAAACCAGCCGCTGCTTCCACTCTGGTTGAGCTGAATTGCTTACTCTTCCGGGACAGGATTTTTCCTACCTAGGCGCTGGTTTTCTCGGTGTTTGCTTTTTGTAAAATCACCTTTTCCCTTGCCTGTTTGTGTAACGCAGCCTTTCCCAGCCAGGTGCCTTCCAGCGCACTGTATTACAACGTCCGTGGTTCCCAAACATGGCTCACCAGACTCATTGAATGATAGGACCTGTAGTCAGTACAGTACAATAGCGAATTCACAAGTTCCCAGTGTGTACTTTTTACTGTGTATACTGTGAAGCAATCCTGATAGCTTCACTAGGTTTTCTTTCAAGTAATTTATTTTTCTTCCCAAAGAAAAGATGAAGACAGAATTATTGATTTTAAACTGAGATCTCTCCCTCTCTCCCCCTCCCTCCCTTCTGTGTCCATTAAAAACAGAATAATTTGGGCTTTGCATTGGGACAGTATGGGAGGGAGGATTAAATTCCTAGCTATTTCCAGTTGCAGATAAAAAAATCCCTGAAACTGTGAAGAAGAATTAAAAAGGGTGCCTTTCTCTCTAATTGTTTCTCCATCTGCAAAGAACTTTATTCTACAAGTCCCCTCCACCTATAAGTTGTATTATTTCCATGACTCTGTCCTATGCTACTCTCACTCTGCCAATTACTTTCCTCACTCCAGTAAGCTTGTATTAAATCATTAAAAGGTATGTTTAGATTGGTCTTGTTGTACTGACTGTACTTGCTGTATCAATTAGTTCTAGCTAAGTAAATACAGCTTAAAAAAGCCTTTCCCGCTTAACCATCGGGAATGTTGCAACGATTGTAAGAGTGAAAGACGGTCATAAGTCACTTTTTCAGTGATGTTGAACTGTTGTAAGTTGAGGACTACCTGTATATGCTAGCTAAACACACATCCTGTGAAATCTTCTAAAACCTCACATTTTCTAGCTGAGGTAAATTACAAAAGACATGTGCAGTCCTCTTCTCACTGCATGGATTCTGTGAGCGTGCCCTGAACCATCTGTGCATTATTTAATATCACAGTTGAACAATCCTTTCGTCTCTGTTTTGCTTAAAAAAGAACAAGAACCACAATTTAAATCTGTTTTGCTTCTGAGCTGCAGACATCTTAGGGCTTTCAAGCTAATCTTCATGGTTATTACTGACTCTATTAATGGGTACATTTGTGTAATCCTGTCATAATTACTCTTTTATGGATTCTGTATGAATATTTACCATCAACTGTCATTTTCATTACTTTTTCAATTATGACCAATTGTCTGTTATTACTGTTACTATTTTTACATCTCTTGAACAAATATTCCCCTTCCTTTTCCTCAGGCGTCTTCTGTGGTGCCTTTTTATACTTCAGCAGTGAATTTCCATTTTAGTGTCAATCTATTTCATTACTTTAGGATTGCAATGAGCCTCTTGTTCCTTTGTATCTCTGTGTTTAATTATTTTTCTTTTGTTCTAATTCAAAAGGAGAGGTAGTTTTTTTTTAAAAGTTTCCCTTGATGGATCAGTATTCCTTTTAACAAACTGGCTGCTATAAGTGTTTGGGTTCATTAATACCTCTGAATGAGGACAGGACTGTAGCTTGGAACTTTCAGTCCAATTTATGGGAAATATTATTTATTAAATGTATGCCTTACCTGACTCCTAACCTTTCTGGAAATCTTCACTCCCATCTGTCTTTCAGAATAGGTAGGTATTTCTCACTTCATGAGGCTAAATTCAGCATGAAACTATATAATGGAATCATGGCTCAATTCTTATTGTGTCTACTTTTGTGCTAGTCAGCCATTGTTCTGTGACCATTTGGCACATGGACGACCAAATCAGTATAAACAACTCTTGCCCTCAAAACTCAACCCTGCTCTGTCTTCATTAGGCAGTTTTGGGCAGAGAACAGGGTCCTCCTTGCCTGTTGCAATCTAAAGAGAAAAACAGCAAAGATGTTGATGATCTCATTGTGATATGCTTTGAGCACAAAAGCACTTGTCATGGATGCCCTTCCTCTATCTTTGGGCAGGAGGAAATGAGCAGAGAAGTAAGAGACAGTCAGTTTACATTTGTTATTGTTTGCATAACAACAGTGGGAGATACAAGAGGCCATGCTGGGGAGCTGGACTGATAACCTTATCTTTGCTAATCAGCTTTAAGAAAGAACTGAGCAAAACGGTAATGACTTGTAAGCAAAAATAAATAAATAAATGGAGGATATTGACAATGGGAAAGAATCATCACTAGCAGTAACAGTAACTGAGTTGGAAGGGACCTTGGAGGTCATCTAGCCCAACCCCCGCTCACGCAAGAGACCTGTACTAGGGATTCAAACCGCCCGAACTGCCAACCTTTCTAATCAACAAGCTCAGTGTCTTAGCCACCTAGTCAGACTCAGTGGCTCACCTAGTCAGGAATCTTGCAGGCCTGCCTGCTTTTCTCTTTTTCTTTAATGGGGCACCTAAAGAGGCAATGAAGAATAGTATTTAGTGATAGATTGCACCTAAGAAGACAGCCATACTCTCTCAACTGCACCTACCCATCAGATGTCATTCCCTACTATGATATTTAACAGTGGTTCTCAGCCAGAGGGCCATGCTGTGTTTCTAGGGAGCCACAATGTATACATGATACAGTTTAAAAACCAGTGATCCCCAAACTCTTGAGCTCATTGACCCCTTTACCTTGTTCATCAACTCCCAAACATTTATTACAGGAAAATAATTTTAAAATAGTATTTTAATTCACAGTACTACTGTTATAATGACAGTACTATTGTTATAATCACAATAACAATCCCAAAGCAACTGGAGCACCACTTCTACACCACTGGCATTGATAAAATTACCATCAGTCGGTTGCAAAAGGCAGGTTTACTTTGAGGAGCTTACATCTTGCAAGGATACCTTTAGCACCATTAAACAACACCTTCTGCCTATCCCAGGCCTTGGGGAAGGACTTGATGGATGAATAAAAACGCCAAAGCCAATATAAACTTTTCAACCAACCATAACAAAAACAACTATGGATAGTCGAATTGACTCTTGGGGGCCACCATTGACCACTTTGGGGAAGCCTTGTTTGATTGCTGTCTAGTGTAGATGGAGAGAGTCTGCAGAGGGAGAGTCACAGAAGTAAATGGGGTTCAAAAGGGGGCCATGAGCAAAAAATGGTTGAGAACTTCTGTTCAATAGCATCTTCCAATATCAACTGATACTTTTTGGGCAAGCATGACATAAATAAAGATAGGCTTTAAATCACTTTGGCATTAGATATGCGATGCTGTGAAGGTGCTATTTTTCTAAGCATCTTTGCAATAAAAATATAAATTCTGTACAATATATTCTTACATATACTGTATTTTTATTCATTTATTCAATATATATAGCTGCCCATCTCAAACTCTGGACAGTGAACAATCATATAAAAAATTAAAGCACAATACAGGAAAAAATTAAATTCAAATAACAGGCAAGAAATAGTGTAATCTGTTCGTGTCAGCATAATCAGGAACTGGGCCCTTCACAGACTCAGGACCCCAGACCTGGATACATAGCCAGGACTTCAAGACCTGAAAGGCCAACAGGGTTGGGGGCCATAAGAATAAGTGCTACAGCAGAAAAGATACTCTGGTTACTCATCAGGGGCTATATTCCTTGGTTGACAGGACATGGAATATGCCCATCCTACCAGATCAGATTGGACCAGAAACCAACTGTTGGAAAAAGACATCCTTTAGGTAACCTGCTCCCAAGCCATGGAGAGCTTTAAAATTTCCAATCATCACCTTGAATTGCATTTGAAAAGACACTGGCAACCAAACTAAACCAATAATATTGTGTGTGCTAAATAGCCAATACTATTTACAACCTGTGCAGTTTCATTCTGTACCAGTTTAAAGTTTACTCCCAATTTCCCCATTATCATACAAGTGGTTGTGCCTCTGTGTGCGCGCACACACACACACACATGCATTCTCCATAACAGAGAAACAACAAAAAAGGGAAGAGATCAAGATGTTGGGGTGAGGGGAAGTTGTACCTGCACTGAGAGGAGAAGGAAATAGAAAAGTGGGAAGAAAACTGAATAAGGAGAGGTTAAGGGGAATGTGTAATTGAATGGGGAAGAAAAGAGAGAGAGAGAAACCCTATTCTGTTCTTTCAAAACGGTGATGTTTTACAAGTAAGAGGTCACTTCCAAGGAAGGGATCAATTCCAGGATAATACTGGTATATTAAAGGCACTACAATAGAACTCTTTTAAGCAACCCTGCTTGCAGTTGTTGACCCTTTAATTCTTTTATTTATTATTTGCTCAAGGATTTGCTCAGCAAATACAAGATCTCTGTGATAGACTATAGATTCTCAGGAAGGAGGAAGTACATTCTAAGATCCGGACATGACAAGAGCCAAGACAATCCGGATCTGGATCAGGGGAAAGAGGAAGGGATTTGGGATAGCCACTCTCTAGATTCCCAAAATATATCCTTTGGGTTAGAGTAGTATAAATTTACTCTGGCAAGGTTCTGTCTATGTGGTATGAGTAAATAAGGAACTGAACTTTGGCTGGATTGTTTTACATCATTCTTGAACTAAACCTGACAATCTCCTCCCAGGCAAAAGCTGGGGGAAAACCCTCATTTTTTTCAGGCAAATAAGATAACCTCTTGGAACTCTATACTAGGTCAATAGATCCTATTGACAGTAAGGTTCAAGAGTATACTGGAAGTGTAATCAAAACAAAACCATTATATTTTTGTTG